TTGGCATGTAAATTACAACCTTTGGTCTCCACATGTCGAGCTACATTAATGTCCTGCAATCTTCCAAGGTCCTACCCAATTCCATTTGGTCTCCACATGCAGCGCTATATGCAAGTGCTGCGCTCCTCTGGCTGTGGCAATTTTATTTTGGAGGTCGAGACAGAGTCGGCGCCGGACATGTTCAGCGAGATGGCTTGGAGCACATGGCCAGAGGCCAGGCATGCAAGATATTAATTATGCTGGCTCATTTTGTGCGCATGAGTTGTGGCAGGCCGGCTTGGAGGAGGCAATCGTCTATATGCGGGGATCCATGAGCCTGAAGGCATCGCCTCGCTGGAAGAAGACCTTCCCATTGTACATTTAAACAAATTGATCGCCTGACCATATGCAATAATTGGAAAAATAGCTGGGACATGTATTGATTTTTCTGGAGCATGTATTGACCCGGAGAAATAACTTTTGAGACCCGGAGAAAATAGAGACCCGGACTAGGCACGGAGAAACCCGGACTAGGCACGGAGAAACCCGGACTAGGCACGGAGATCAGGAACACGTAATGCTGTTACGAGACCATGTATTGTGTATTTCAATGACTTAATTCATATTATAGCCATTCGGCCCATATGGAGACGCTACCAAGCCGTGCCTGGAGTTGTTCCGAACTGCTCGACGGTGCAGCCATGCTTACGGATGATGCTGTGGTCGCTTACAAGAAGAACCTCCTCTCAGAGACCCATGGCAAGTCTGTGGAGGAGCTTGAGCGTTTGCTGCAGGACTGGGGTGGTTGCCTTTTCGACTCATGTCAAAAACACACAGTTGGACATTTTGAGGACACTGATGCGGCAATTGCTGAGCATCCTGGTGCCCATGAGCTGGATTCCTTCGTGCCCTGACTTTACCTCTGGTATATAGTGCATTAATGCATGCATAATATATCATGCTATATGCAATATAGCGCAACAATTGCCACGCACGCATGCCTGTAGGAGCGCTACATCATGAAAAAAGGAGCATGTGCATGAGGCGCAACTGATGGATGCTTTGTGCCCAAACCGTGTTACTCGACATAATATATTAATGAATAAAATATATTGCACGATATCATGCATGCATGTAATGCACATGTGCCTAGGCTATGAACATGCTCACTGGTGTGGCCTCGCCTCAACATGCTCCAATGCCATCGCTTGCTGCTTTGGAGATTGCCCAAGCCAATGCAGCCCAGGCCAAAGAGGCTGCTTTGCTGGCGCAAAAGGCGGCGCAGGAAGCGGCTGCTGAGCTCCAGACCTTGGACGCCGAAGATGTGTTCTACTCCCAAATGCCCACCATGAACTACGGTGACAGTCTGACACAAACCCTTCAAGAAGAGGTTGCAGAGGAGCTGGACCAGCAAGTGCAAGAGGCAAGGGCTGAGGCAGCAACCAGGTTTGCTGCCGAGGCCTTGAAAGCAAAGAGCGAAGAGGAGGCAAGGCTTGCCGCTGTGGAGAAGGCAAAACAAGAAGAAGTGGCAAGGCTTGCGGCTGAAGCTGCCAAAGCTGTGGAAGAGAAGGCAAAGCAAGAAGAAGAAGCAAGGCTTGCAGAAGCAGCAAAAGCAATGGAGGAGAAGGCGAAGCGCGCAGAAGAGGCAAGGCTTGCCGCTGAAGCCGCAAAAGCAGCGGAGGAGAAGGCAAAG